TTTCTCCCATCTCTAGCAAAGACCTTTTATTTGGTCGGTTGATTTTCTATGTGTGTGTTCTGAATGTACTCTGTGATATACATGCTCGTCGATTAGATTAATCGTCAAATAAGTTAACTCATATAGGTTCCCAGTAATTGAACAAGAATGTTTTAAGACATTCGGGACCCTGTACGTATTGTTTATATGAGCGACTGATTATTACCTGTTATATCTAGTATAGTCGACTCGATAAACGTCGTCGATTAGTTTTCTATGACTAATGAATCAAATGAGCTAATAATTTCACATGACTAATCGAACCTTGTCACTGACTGAATGCCCGGCATCGTTTGGAATGAGTTTGTTTGCATTGCAAAAACGACTGAAAAGGTTCAGTCCAGGGCAGTCCTGAATTTGAACTTTCTTGAGTTCAAAATGCCCTGATGCTACAATGGGCAGGGCAGTAATAATCAAGGTTAAATAGGGGTATTCTGGGGTGTTAAAAAGAACAGAAATAATTAGTTTAAGTGAGCTGACAAATGGGGTACTGAATTAGAATTAAATTAATGCCAATGGGGGGACCAGACCTAAGAGTATGGGAATTAATTGAATACTTAACTAAACTCATAACCCTTGATTAGAGTAATAAGACAGGGAATGGGGGCTGATTAAGGATTCCGAGAAAGATGCCTTTAGGCATGGGGAGTTAAGGGGTATGGGCAGATTGCAACTGGCAGGAATCCAGGCAGTTGGACTGACCTAGGGTTTGGCTTATAAATAGGCCATTTGAGAACTTAAAAGAGGCTGGAAAATTTTTAGTCTTGAGAGGGGTCTTGTGAGTTTAAAGAAAAGACTAAAAACATAAGAAAATTTCAGTAAAACACTGTAACCAAACACTGTCTGAGAGCTATATAAGAGTTCATATTGGTCAAGCTGTCTTGGCCAAGTTCTGTTCTTTGGCACTGACTGAGCTGCTTGTGATTGTCAAACTGCTGGTGTTGCTGCATTGAACACTTTGTTACTTCTGTTGTTTCCTTACTCTTTCCTGGGATTGCTTGTTTGGTGCTCGACTATTTGCTGGTTTTTCTTTGTTCTGGGAACCATTGCTGGTTGTCTGTGGGCTGTGGAAAACACTTGTGGTTGTTGGATTGTTGCTGTGTTCTTGCTGTTCATCTGCTGTTGCTATATTTGCTGCATACCACTCAGCTGACAATTCTCCTTCTTCTTCTGCTTTGCTATACCAGGTACACNAAATATTCATGTAATGTGTAATAGTTTGCATTCTTGTTTTGGATGCTGGAGATAGCCTTCAGGCCTAATAAATGTCAATGAATGGTAGTTGAATGTTAGATTGTGCATATAGGTTGGGGATAAGAGTACGCCCAAGGCAGTAGGTTGTATCTCAGATTTAGTTCAATGGTGTGGTATAAGCCTGTAATGTATGCCAAGCATGACAATCGTACACTACTAGTTAAGTTCTTTCCTTTCCGATAAATTGTCATACATAACTGTTAAACCATGATTTAAGACAAAAAAAAACACAGGGTTTGCAATCTCAACCCCGCGCAGGTCGAGCCCAGGTCAAAACAGACCCAGCAGGCCTGCCCCGGACAAACAATGGCCCAGGTCTGGCCCATCACACGTGGGCTGGAATTGGGCCTTTAATTTTGCTCGGCTGACTGTGTGCGTGGCCGCGCTTCTGATTTTGCTCAAACACTCGGAATTCTGTTATGAATAACTTGCAAGCATGTAATTAATTAGGATTATCTATTGTTTTCAATTAGTAGAGACAAACACGACAAGAAACGTAGTTGCTATAGGATACCTTTTTAAAATAAGAACGAGATGAGCCTCGACAAAAATAAATAAAATTGCACAAGTTGCGGGGCCCTCGTTAAATGTATATTATCGAAGCATTCAGTTTCCAGGACGGGTCGTTTAGCAAATCTCACAACCCTCCCAGAATAATAACGTGATAGCCTCTTTAAGCGCGTATTTAATGATTTTACCTTCTTAAAATCGGGTGCGCATTTATGTGACCCAAATCCAAATCTCGACGGATTCGAAATGTATTTCTAATCACGGGTACATTGATTGTGACGTGGTTCGAGATGCATGTCCATGACGTCGCAAATTCCTTTTAAAAGTAGAACGAGACGAGCTTCGTCAAACAAAAATGTACACAGCTGC